TGCTCATACTTTTTTTTAATATCACTTTAAAAGAATGTTATTCATGTATGAAAATGATCAAAAATTCATTTAAAAGTCGATTATAATTTTACTTTTGGTTTTTTCATTCAATTATGATCTGTTTTTAAACTTATATTTTAACTTTTTCTAATTTCTAGGATTATTTTGTAAATTTCTTTTATCGATTAAAATCAATACATCTTTGTAATTGATTAGGAAAAAAATTTAAGAACTCTTGCCAATTAAAAAACATTTTGTAATTTTTATTCATTCTTGATGACGATATAATTCTTTTTAGTTCAATATCTTCCTTTTTTTTTTAGCATATTTTGTACAAAAACAAGATATCCATGATTGAAAGACAAGGATTCTTTGTGACTAAGTAACATCATGTAATTGAATTGAAGTTTTTCATCACCATTTAGTAGTAGGTTGACATTCAATTTTTTTTTTTCATTTCTTAGACGTGCTTATAATTTGATAAACATGGTTGAATCTCCTCGAAATCAAAAGAGTTCATAATAACCGATGATGAATTAGAATAACTATAACATGTATAAGTTCTAATGAAACCGATCGAAAACATAAAATCATCACTAATTAGTGGAATTACATACATGGCACATGTTCTGCAAGACTCATGATGGCATTGAGTAAATGATTTTAGATTCATTTTTATGAAAAAACCTTAGCAGAACAGACTATTTTATTCTATTTTGTAGAGTTCGTCGAATCCGGACTTGAACATTTTGAACTCAATAGACTCTTCACCCTCACAGAACATCTGCATTGGCGATGATCTGTGACTCACATCAACATACTAAAGCAATTTAAAATGTACAATTGTTTTCATTATTTAAAATATATATTAATATTCAAATAATTGAAATAAAATAATCTATTGATATATTTTAAGTTGAAAAAGATGTAGCAACTGATCTATTTCAACTAGTTAAATAAAATACACAAAGATAAAAGCTTGAAACATATACAATACTCAAAACAAAATGTGAGCAAATATTTGTTCTTCATTAAGAAAACAAACTTGCACTTCTCGATCTCTTAAAAGCATTTTATCAATGATTTAATTAATTATATTATTTTATTGTTTGAGTGCTATATCGAAAACAAAAAAATATATATACATACATATATCTGCTCTCTTATCTGATTCTCATAGTGCTTGTTCATATGCATCTGTTATTTTCTCATGCAATACAAAGATACTTTATAAACGATCTATTGTTGTTTAATTTGATACTTAATGATATTTTCTATCAGTGATTTATTATCGAATACATTAGTTTGATATTCTATAATTATTATTAGTAAGTAAAAGCAACTCTTCTTACATATTCAAAAGAAAAAAAATATCGTTTAGACATGACAGCTCTAACTAGAATTTATATAACTAATCTGTACATTTAATACTGAATTATGAAAGAGAAACTCTGTTTCTAACAAACGATCCGTCAATCAATCATCGATTGATGACATTGAGCGTTTTGCCCATAGTTTGACCCATTAGCGTCATATGTCCTATTGACATTTTTTTCATAGTATGACATAATATATTTAGTTGTTGGAGTTTTTTTTCTTGTTGTGTATATGGATAAATGCCTGCATTCATTATGTTAAACGTATATATCTTTAGCTTAGGAACAGTAGTATGTCAGAGAAATGACATAAGTCATTTCTTTACAATTGTGTATCAATTTATAGACTGATGTAATATTTTAATATTGAACTTTTATATAAATTAGAGAATTTCGAAATAATATACCTGATATTTACAATTCAAATTGATTATGATAAATATTGAATTTAAGATTTAAATAATTTTATGTATTAAATCAATCTTTTATTATTAAGTATGTAAACATTAAGAAAGAACTATCAATGCTTATAAAAATTTCATTTTAAGTCAGTTTAAATGTTTTAAGAAAAAGAAAACAGAAGACAAACATAAACAATTATGTAACAAGTCGGTATTTATTCATTTTTAAAAGACTACATTAACATTAAAAATGAGGTAGGAAGGTACATATGACATTTTTCATGTTAAGTAATGTGATCAATTTATCATGTAAAGGATTACAAGGAAATAAAACTTCAAAAGAAATATTTTATCCTTGTTACATCAATAGTAGATTAAATCAAATAATTGAACCTAATTTAAAGAATATTTTCTGTGTTCATTAAAACAAGATTAATAAAAAGAAATGAAAAAATAAATAATTTTTATTCAATATAATTATTAGAGATAAACTATGTTTGCATTTTTTATTCATAGTGTGTATGATAAGTTCGAGGGTAAAAACGTTGGATCCCTCATATGGTGAACATCAGTAACTAATAAATACACATTCATTCAATCTATGTGAGAACAGGATCAATGAAAATAATGATCGATTGATCCATTATAAGCTTTCTTTAAAAAGAATAAGCTATGTTTAACATATAAGATATGACTATTTATGCGATCATCGTTAATTATTTCCTCATATGTAGTTTTTTCTGTAATATATATTTCATTAGTGTATTTTTTTATGTAAACATTTTTGTATTATTCAATATTAGTTGTTTTTTTTTCTTTACACGTGTGTTATTAACAATGACGTAATAATCTTGTATTTAGATTTTTTTTTCATAAATAATTATCGTCATTTCAAGGTTAATGCACTTGCTGACATCATCATTCTATTTTTCTTTGTGTATTGGTGAAAGATAAAGATCTTGTCCTCAAAAGGAGTAAATACTTGACATTCTCAGTAGGATATATATATATATATAGTGTAACGGTTGTAATACTATTCTTTTACTTCATGCTGTTTATCAAGGGATAGTCGAGAATATCGTTTGAATAGTAAATATGATCGTAGCAATATATTATTTATCGTTCACAGTGGTATACTTCAAAGAATATTATAAGCTTAAATTTTGTCTACTTTCTTGTGTAGTTCACAATGCTTCATGTGTACTTAGTCTTTTCTTTTTATTCAAAAACAAAAAAAAAAAATTGAATTTTATTAACTATCTAGTTCTTTTTATTTGATATCCTAATGATGTTTTCTATAGTCGATTCATTATCGGACCACATGCTGATTCGATGTCCTGTGGTCATTATTGGTGAATAAAAGCAACCATTCTTATTGCATATAAAGACATAAGAATATGCAAAGGAATTCATGTCAATTAAATATTGACGATTCATTTTCTCAATGTATAGATCCATTTCGAAATGAATACCTTTGAGCTATCAAACAATTATTACAATAGTAGAAAAATAAATATTGATTGGAACAAGTGAGACTAGAAATCATTTAGACATATGCCATATAATTATAGTCAATACAATATATATATATATGTACATAGTAATATTGAACTGTGGAAGAGAGACTCTTGTTTCAACGAATGATCGATGAATCAATCAATCATCGATCGATGATGAAAAGGATGACATTGAACGACTTGCATCGCACGACCCATTAGTCTCATAGGCCGACTTATGTTCGTTCATATTATGACATAATGTATAGTTGATTGAGCCTTTTTCTTTCTGCTTGCTGTGTGTATATATGTATATGCATGGTTAAAATGACTGAGCTGTTTGAGTCGTGCATACGTGCATGCATTTGACACGCCGATGCTCCAAGGTCTGTTTATCGCATATGCAATCAATTGCAGCATGATGATGAGAATAGCAGCAGTAGTATCGAGGCTAGATTAACACATCACATCTCTCTTTTTCTCATACTCTCTCCTATCTTACAGCAGTTGTTTGTTTTATCGTATCGGACTATTACTTTCTCACTCACTCACTCTCTCTCTCTCTCTTCCTCAGTACTGATAATAAACTGTTCAACTAGTTTCTTTTGCTTTTTTTTGCTATACTTCATTACGTCACGCGCATTTGCACTTCTCTTTTTCTTTCTATATTGAGGGCAAATGATTTCGAGCACGAGTAACTGAATCGTAGTATATAACCCATTCATTGTATATCGATTACGGATAAATGCGAACAAAAGAGAAAATTTTCTATTATTGTTGCTTCGGTATAATTGTTGATCTTTCAAGAAAAAATCTTTGACTGGCAAGATCAATGCCATCAAATATATGCATCTATTATATACATACGTACGCACCTTTATATACAGAATATATAGATATATAGATGAATAGATAAATGAATATGCTGTTTCTTTAAACGTTGATAATCCTTGACATTTCAATGGACACACACACACACAAACGCGTACAAACAAGTAAAGCTCACAAATAGGTGTCAAAGAGTAGATAGAGATTGAGTCCAACTCACACATCGGTTGCCGTTCCACTATCAGTTGTTGAACCAGCTGCACTTGTTTTTAAATTGTCATAAGCTTCATCGGTTGGAAATGGTTCATGTTTTTGTTTTTGTTCTTTATGATGACCAAAAAAATTTCTCTTCCTAAGAAATTTAATACGTTTGTAAAGAACAAAACCAGTAACCATTAATACGATAAGAATAAGAGTAAATATGATAAGTATTATTACAGTTCGTACTATTTCACTTAATAATGAACGTTCTTGTTGAATAATAATTGGTTGTTCAACATTTGCTAATGGTGGTCGTTTACCATTAAGATATTGTTTAAGGATAAATTCTTTCCATGCACGTTCATCATCTGTCATAACTGGTAATGTTGATATTGAATCATTTATCATATCTGGTGGTGATTCAACATTAATTTTTGCAGAAAAAACAACTATATTTTGATTATCATCTTGTTTAGTATTATTAATTTTATTATTACTGATGTCAAGACGATTTAAAGCAGATAATGATGGTTCGAGTTCATATAAAATACAATCATAATCGACAATTAAATGTTGAGCATAAGTTGTACTTTGTATTAATGATGGACATACTGATGAATCCATACGAATACAATTAATCGATATTGAACATGTTCGATGATTATTACAACCAAGATAATGTTTATTAAGACGTCGTTGACATGCACTAGGTGCACAACCATTACCCGTATAAAAAATAACTGTACGTAATTTAATAACAAAATTTAAAGGACATGATAAAAGACGAGTACTAGCTGTTGTATTTGATATTTTCTCATTTGAACAACAAGTTTCAAACTTATAAGTCCAAGATGGTAAAATAAGAATAATAATAATAAAAAACAAATAAAAAATAACTCGTTTTGTAATCATATTGTTTCAAAGAAATATCTTTGAAGAAAAATAATCAACATCTACAAGCAATAGAATATAAACATCTTGTTCTAATTAGATAAGCTTTTTTCTATATCAACATATATTAATAATAAGAGTAAAAAAAGAAAGACAATTTTGCCTTAGATTGTTGCTTAACATATATATATATAATACGTACGTGCAATTGTTAGGATGTATGAGACTTTTTCATTCCCTATTTCTCTTATACCTTTTTTTTTTGTATACATATATACATATTTATTTGAATTCGTTCGAGTGTCTATGCTGCACGAGTGCCTGCATAATTCTCTCATCGTTTCATGAACTGAACAGTTGATGAGGATCAGCATACTACTCTCTCTTGTCATGAACTGTAGCAAACACAATTGCATTTTTCTCTCGCTCTCCTTCTCCCTGTCTTTCTCTCCCTCTCTCTTTCTCTCTTGTGCTCTCCTGGTACTGCATACATATAGTAACAACAACAATACCAGTAGCAGTGCGTCCTGAGATTAAACGATCTCTTTCTTTTATAGAATACATATATGTATTCTTCTCTCATTCTCTCACTTCTTTCCTATTATGTGAGTTAGTGATAGGTATATATATGTATATACATATATATACTATTAGTGATGGAGCTCCTTTACTTGCATATATGCACATTATGGTTATGCGTCTGACAAGGCTTTACTTTTATACAATATAAAGCACTTTGCTGATGGACGTTCAAGGCCAGGGTCATGAACACGTTTGTCTTCACCAAAAATCGATTATTTGCCTATGTACATATTGAAAGAAAAAAAAAACAAGGCTCAATCATCATCATCGTCACTCAACGAAATATCGATTCATTTGGAAAAGAATTGATTATTCATTGTACATACATATGAATATGTCTATATGATACAGTTGGGTTGCGTCAAATAGAAGAATGACATGCACATGCATGCCCATTAACAAACATCCTACAATTGTAACAAGCGATCATATCAAAGTGACAATTCTCTGTTGTATTATGAACAGAATTGCGTCAACTTGATTTCTCTAATCAACTATTTTAACATTTTTTTTTGTCTCAGATCAATAATAAAAAACGAGACAATCATCAATGAATGTACAATGTTATAAAAACCAATGCCAATAACCTTTTTTTTCCCTTCTTTTCTTCATATGTCTCTTTTGATGGCTTAAGGATACTAATGTATAACCGCTAGAGAATCTATAATCGCATCATGATGCTAAATTTGAATCAGAATAAAATATTCTAATCCTTTTTGGATCGTACTACTACAGGAAGTTACTAGTTCTTACGTCATTTTAGTTGCTGATGAACTTAGACAGAGATTTCCTTCATGTCAATTTTATTGAATAATATTATGAATTTACTATTGTTATATTGAAAAAAAAAAGAAGAATGAAGAAATAAAAGTTGTCATAACACGTTTTTATTTTCTCATTTATCAACGTATTTTAATATCATCTTGTTGTTCTTGTCGTCAAATTACCAAACAGAAAGAAACAAAGAAAGAAAGAAAGAAAGGATTAAAAAAAAAAGGTGATACACCACTGTCATTGGTTTTTTTCTTTTACGTGAAATAATGTCTTCAATTCGTATAAAAGCACAGCTTGGTGATAATAAATCCAATAATAGGTCTTATCGAAAAACATTGCCATCATCATTTAAATTTGTTTATGTTCTTAATTCATCATCAACAACAACAATTAATGATCTTAAACATTTACTTGAAAAATATGTCATTCGACAATTTTCATATAGTAATGTACAAATAGTTCAATTAATGACCGATGATGGTTATTTTCTATCGAATGATGACATATGCTCAAATGTACTTGAAGATAATGATCGAATTATTTGTGTTGATATGGAAAAATTTATTGAAGAAAATTATTCAACATTAGATTTTGAAAATTTATGGTGTGAAATTAAACAACATGATGCGAGTGATGACCTTGAAAAATATATTCAAATTGGTTTGAATAATTTTGGAAAATTATTTATACGAATCTATGGAACATCAACTATGAATGGACTTTATATGTTTAGTATATTTGAATTAATGCAAATTGCTAATGAAAAAAACCAACCAAGTAAATATTAAAAATCAAATATTGAATTTTGAAAAAAAACAAATCATTCATTTTGTTTAAGATAACATAATTGCTCGATTTGGTAATACGAATTGGTTTATTGAAACTAAATGGGAATATGATTCTGTTTCAAATAGATGTTTATTTCTTATATGTAATTTAAAAGTTGGTTCAAATGAACATATATGGTCTAATAAATTACATATTTTACTTGATGAATCACGTATGTGTATTGAAAAAGGTGAAATAATTTCTGTATCAAGTGAAATAAAGAATAATGATGATGTTTTAATCGATCAACAACAAGAACGTTTAAAAGAACTTGCTTCAAAAATTCCATTACCAAAACGAATTGGTCCAGAAATGGATATTAATCGAGATAGAAATAAAAACATAACTAAATATGAATGTGAAGGAGAATCATTAGTTCGAATGAATTATGGTAGTACAAATACCGTAACAGCATATCAAGGTTTTTGTTCATCAGAAGATGGAACATTTTGTCAAAATTTTATTATCACACATATTACGTTTTCTAAGAAATTAAATAATACATCAGATGTATTGTATCAAGAACATTCAGCATCTACTGATAAGCCTATTTCAGTTGTTAATTTAACTGTGTTTTATCGTACTGAGGATGGATCATGGCATGAATGTGAAGATGTAGCTATTGGACCAATTGCACTACGTAATGAAGAACCACGATGGTTAGCTGATTCAGTAATTAACATTGAATCGGATAAATTATTATCATTTGCTATCAAAGGATGTTTACATGTTAAAGGTGAACCTGGAAGAGATAATGCAACACGAAAACGCATACATAAAAATTTGCCACAACCATTTCAACTTAAAATCGTTATAACAGATAATTTTAATAAACAATGTTCATTAATTGTTGAACAATTAAATAAAATTCTAGAATTTGATACATCTGAATCATTTGTTAAATATAATCAATCGTCAATTAATGATTTATTAGCATTTGTTTATGCTGATGATTGTGAATATGATGAACGTATTTTTATGGCTATTTATTTAAATACAGAAAATCAACTTGTTATTAAATCAGGTCATATGTATTCAATAATATTAGAACGTAAAAATATTCGTACAATGGAATTTAATGCAAAACAAAATCAGACAACAGAAGTATTATTAGATTCAATTTATTATCAATCTGATAAACAAGAAAAAAAAGCAATAGCTTTATTTGATTCACAAACTAATATGTTTTATGCTATTCGATTAGAAATATCAACGAACACATCTAAAACTGAAGAAACTATACTTTTACCATTGGAAAAAATCAAATAATAAAAAAAAATATAAGAGACTCTTCTAAAAAGAATTTTATTTTTTTTACCATTCAATTTTGATGAAATTTTCAAAGGAGGTGTATCTCAAATTAAGCACTTCATTGCAAAAATTTCAACTTGATACATTGAGTCTATGAAGCACTAGCTTAAGATTATGAACCAAAATATAGATGTTCGATCGTCTTAAATTTCTGCGCCATTTCAAATGCTAGAAAGATCGAATTGTTTTTAAAACGTAGCCAAGACATGATATTACAAATTAACAGAACTTGTTTTTCTCATTTTTTTTCATAGGTTATTTTTCTCGAAAGTGTTTATCGTCTATAAACTGATATTAAAAAAAAATCTTCAAGTAATTCATCATAGATCACCGATTAGAACAAATCAAATGAACGCATCTAAGGATATTAGTGTGAGTCTTCAGACTCACATCAATACTTTCATTGCATTATGTGGTTTCTCATGTTTAAGTTTTATATTCACTTATCATACTTAGCGATGCACTATAGCCATCTCCATGAATGTCAAAAATCAACAGATAAGCTTGAAAGACTTTCAAAATCAAAGTTTTTAAAAACAGGATTGTTAGTCCAGTCCTATTGAGACTAAAAAAAGTGGAACTCACAAGTGTCCTTCTTTATCCGCATTATACTAATACAAATAAGTAAAGTGAACAATCTATAGCAGATTCTGAATGTTTTTCAAGATAACCGACTGTCAGAGAAGTGATCTGTCTTATTTATTTCTGTATTTCGAACAGAAATTTCATTTTATTTTTTGTTTTCATTGTTGCAATTCGCTTGTTATTTCCATTTTTCTTAGTTTAACATTATTATTACTATTATTATTATTATTATTCTAACTATCGATTTAGCTGTCAAAGAATCTTGTTGTACATATCTGTTATATTTATAGCAGGTATCAACGCACTATTGTATATATATATATATCAATAAGCTAATAAACACTGATATTGATTATTTTCTAAAGTCGTACCTTGATTTAATGCACACTGTTTTATATTGACCATATGACAAATGTGGCAAATTAATACATCACTACTTATCATCCTAGACATGTTGAATATAATTTTTTTTGGCAGTGCAAAATTTAAAAGCTCCCCTATTTAAAACATTCACAAATGTATTTCAACCATTCAAATTTTTAGTAGGACTTTAAAATGTTCTAGAAGCCTCTGGAATACTCTATATCTTGTTGTTAAGACTATAGTGCATTCTCCAGTAGACAAATTGCTTTGTCTAACAAACTCTTAGTCATAGAATCTGTAAGTTTGACCGAAATTGACTTTTTATGATGGGAACCTTTAAAAATTCTCATATTGAAAATCTCTGTAGGTAATTTATTTCAATTTTATTTTCTATCAAAATAAACTATGTCAACAAATAAAAGCACTTTATATGAGTCTTCTATCGATAAAAGAAAAAAATACCTGTGCATGCATTAAAATCATCAGAACGAAAAAACAAAAAAACAAAAAACAGCTTTGGTAATCACAGATTATTGACATTAAATAAATGGTAGACAAATTTAGTAGTTGTTTGGTTT